GGCAATCATCAACAAATCTACAAAGGACAAGTGCTGGTGAGGTTGTAGAGAATAACACACCCTCATACACTGCTGGTGGGATTGCAGACTGGTGCAGCCACTGTGGAAGACAGTATGGAGTTTCCTCAAAAAATTAAAAATGGAACTCTCATTTGACCCAGTCATCCCACTTTTAATAATAGAAATCAGAAACACCAATCAGAAAGGATATATGTACCTCTATGTTCATAACAGCACAATTTATAATAGCTAATATTTGGAAATAGCTAAAGTGCTCATCAGCAGATGAGTTGTTTAAAAATCTGTGGTACGTCTACACAATGGAATGCTACCCTGCTGTAAAAAAAGAAAGAACTTTTACCATCCGCAACAGCATGGATAGACCTAGAGATTATTATGCTAAGTAAAATAAGCCCATGGGAAAAATTTAAATATCACATGATCTCACTCATTAGTGGAATAACAATGAACAATATAAACTGATTAACAAAAAATAGATTCAGTGACAGAGAAACATCAAACAGACCATCAAACCTCAGAGGGAATGCAGGGGAGCGGGGGTGGTCAGAGATCAACCAAAGGACTTATATGCATACATTTAAGCATAACCAATGAACACAGACACTATGGAGGTGAGGGCTTGTGCTATGCTGGGGAGAGGTCAATAAGAGCAAAGGAGACATATGTAATATTTTAAACAATAAAGAATTTTAAAATAAATAAAAGTAACAAAAAAAAGAAATTGAAGAAAAATACCTATGGCTGTCTCCCTAGAAAAAATTTTTATACATTATCATCCTAAATAAACAGACAATTCAAAGGTCCATAGCAGCCTTGAAAACCCACCTGGCCCTCTTGAATACAGACCCTATTATAAAAATGCATCTCTGCCATCATCCTTTGGCACTCTGGGCAGAAGATATCTACCATTAACAAGTCACTTACTGGGAGACTGTAACTGTCCTCTCAAAGATTTGTAGGTAATCTCTGAACATAGATAGAAAAGCCTCTTTCCCAGAATATGAACTCATGATACATTCCATGTTTATTCAATTAATTGAATGTCACTAACTTTGAATGTATATGAGGTACTTATTTATACTTTACTAAAGGCCTGGTGAGTGAAATTCGTACACTGAGGGTGTGGGTTCCTCAGCCGCCCTGCATTCTATCCTATTTTGTACCTCCTCAGGGGATGTCTGACTGCTGGTTTAAGCCTGATCAAAGCAGTTGAACATTCCTCTTGCAATCTAGGATGACTTGCTCCTAACCACTTGCCTGCCTGCCTGTCTGCCTGATCACCTCTAATCCCTCTGCCTGCTGAACTGATTGCCCCTACTCTGTTCCCCTGTCTGCCTGATCACCCTGAACCTCTCTTCCTGCCTGCCTGATTGCCCCTAACTGCCCTCCCCTGCTGGCCTGATCTCACTCCCAACTTCCCTTTCATACCAGCCTGATCTCACCCACAATGGTCCTCCCCTGCTAGCCTGATTTCCCCTAACTGACTCTGCCTTGGCCCCCACAACCATGGTTTTGTCTGGAAGTCAGATATCTGGAAGGTGGCTGGTTGACCCAGTCTAATTAGCATATTACCCTTTTATTAGTATAGATAGGGAGAGCCTTAATTAGCATAGATAGATACTATTGCTTAAATTGGGGCGAGGGAGCCTTTTTAATCAGGAGGAGATGCTCTTGACAGACAAAAACACATAATCCCTATATCTGGACTCATAGCGCACCAGTCATTAAAAAATTGAACTGCTTTCTTACACCTTACAACAAACAGCTATTGCCCTTAAAACCCCTCGTCAGCCCCCACCTTAGGTTCTGCCTTCACAGATCACCCAGATTTGGTTCTGATTGGTTTGTTCCTATGACAGCCAGTGTCAAAAGCTTCACCTCCTAGGCAGCCATTGGCTCCTCGCAATTCACCCAGAATTTGTTCTGATTGGTCAGTTTCTATGCCAGTCAGCATCAAAAGCCCCGTCTCCTAGGCGGCCATTGGTTCCTCAAAATTCATCCAGATTGGGTTCTGAATGGTTGGTTTCTATGCCAGTCAGCATCTCCAGGCCTGAACATAGAGGTGAGGCTGATCAGTAACTGGCCCAGGCTGCTGGTGACTGGGCTGAACTGCTGACCTTTGGGAATGAGAGAGAAGCTTGACTGCTGGTGAGGCTGGGAGAGAGAAGCAGGGTCTGCTCACCCTGCTTCTCTATCTGGGCCCTGCCAGCAACTGCTTCTGCTGCTGACCAGCCCCGCCTCTTTCTTTCTCTCTGAGTGGTCAGCACTTCAGCCCACTTGCCTGCTGCGTAGACTGGTGTTTGATCAAACTTTCAGTTGTTGCTATACGACCCTGACTCTTTATATATATAGCTAATATAAGCTTGTGATTCCCTCTAATTTATAGCAACAGGTATAACAGACTAGTTTGTAGGTGAAGACAATTTAAATTAATAAAATATATACATCTATATATGTGTATCATAAGCCTGGTTTCTCTTTAAGAATCAGTAATAAGACATGATATATACATATGCCAGTATTGATAATAAGTCAACTATCTTCTCAATGGACCTGTTTATCCACTTAAATAGCATTTATTGCTGTATTAATTACTGCTGACAAAAATTGTTATAAAAGTCATCAAGAAAGCAGTATTCTTTTAAGTAAATTAAGTATTCCATTGGCAAGTGTGTTCAAGTTCTAAATTTAGTTAGTAAACTCTTAAAGAAGGGGCAGCAAAGTATATATATATATATATATATATATATATATATGGCTCATGGATTAGAGAGTCAATACTGATAAAGTTGAAAATTTAAAAACAAAACAATAATAAAAAGTGATGTTCTTTCAAGGTGAATGTTTCTGGAATGGTACCTTTCAGAATGGATGAGTGCTACCTAGCCCCTGGACTAATTGTTGTGTACAGTTTGATAAGTGATTTATGCTTTTCTTAGCCACATTGACCAAGAAGCAGTACTCATGGATCATTTGAAGCTTCTAACTGTCCAGTGCTTAGGTATGGTCACTGAGCAGCCAACAACATACCCATTTCATATAGTATCTTTTGAATTTTATTTTTATATCATATCATATAGTAACATCAACATATTTTTTAATAAAAAAATATGTTTTTTGAAAAAAATGGTGTGAAGAATGTTATTGTTTTCTATCTTTGAAAATCTCTTTAATGCCTGATTTAATGGATAACACTTGGATTCTCATACTCACTTTTGCATACAGTCTGTTGTGATATGTTGTTTGAGTTGAAGTACATGAGAAAATCTAATGACTCAGATATGTAGTTGAAAAATAGAGGAACTGTAACTCCCATGAAAGGTTCTCTGGGACTCCAGGGGTCCTTGGGTCACACTTTGAGAACCACTGTCCTATAAAATAGTTTGGAAGAACATATGAGTGGTGAGATTATTAGTGATCATACTTGTTTCTTTTTTCATTTATATACTCCACAACGGAGATAGATTGCTTGTTCAAATTATAAATGAGAAAGGAAGAAGCATGAGTACATTGAGGAAAGATTTAGGAGGCTCTAGAGATCAAGACAGAAAAGTTTATATTTTGGAGACCAAAGAGCAACTGTAATTTCTTAAGCAGGCAGATGACCTATTAAAATTGTATTTAGCCCTGGCTGGGTGGGTCAGTTGTTGGAGCACTGTCCTATATACCAAAAGATTGTGAGTTCCATTCCAGGTCAGGTTCAATCCTTGGTTGAGGCACATATGGGATGCAGCCAATCCATGTTTCTTTCTCTCTTACATTGATGTGTGTGTGTGTGTGTGTGTGTGTGTGTGTGTGTGTGTGTCTTTCCCTTTCATTCTCTTCATCTCTCTAAAAGTCAATAAACATATCCTCAGGTGAGGATTAAAAATTGTATTTGGGGAAAAAATGACTGGAATTAGAAGAGAGAAGCTACTTTATAGTTGCTCAGTAATATAGGTGAATAATGAGGTAGGCTAAGCCTCAGATATTGGTGGAAATGGAGATAATTTTTCAGAATTTGCAAAAACAGATCCAGAGACAGAGAAGCATCTATCAAACAATCAAATTACAGAGGTAAAGCAGGGGATGGTAATGGAAGGCGGAAAGATCCACCAAAGGACTTGTATGCATGTATATAAACATAACCAATGGACACAGACACTAGGAGGGTGAGGGCATGAGAGAGGGGTTTGGTAGGGACATTGAGGGGATAAAGGCACACATGTAATACCTTAATCAATAAAGAAAAAAATAATAAATAGAATACTAAATGGGGAAATATAATAAAATGTACAATGCCACAAAAAATTTTCATAGAAATTTTTAATGCAAAAATACCACAACTTGGATATCTATATATTATATAAAACCCTAATATGCAAATAGACCAAACAGTGGAACAACTAAACAACTGGTTGCTATGAAGTGCACTGACCACCAGGGGATGCACACTGAAATGGCATGCATCAGCAGCAGGCAGCAGAGTGCAGAACATGGCGGGAATAGGCCTTGGTGGGATGGTGGAGCAGGTGAGCGGGGGTGCCAGATCAAGATGGACTGCTGGTCACTGTCATCAGGGAAAGCCTCTAGTGGTTACTGAAAATTCTTTGCTCCCATGCACTGTGGTCCTGCCAGGTGCTCACACCTGCTGCCGATGCTGGCCCCACTCACACCCACTGCCAGCGCCAGAGCCGCCACTTGCACCTGCTGCCAGCACCTGGCACAGGCCCTGGCCAGCAGCCAGCAGCTGGGGAAGGAAGGCCCTGGCCAGCAGTTGGAAGGCCCTGATTAGCCCTGATCACTGGCCAGGCCTAGGGACCCTGCCTATGTACAATTTTGCACATCAGGCCTCTAGTAGAGAATAAAGGAAAGGAGGGAGTTAAGATGACTAAGAGTTTTCAAGTCTAAAGCATTTGAAGAATTTCTCCCTTATTTTCAACTTTAACCTTTTCTGAAAATTATTCTTAAGTTAACTGAAGTCTTGTCTTATTTTTCAGAGTTTTGCAGTCCATCCTAGGGCTTAGGAGAATGACAGCATGCTTCCCAACCTGTACCTGTCACAGTGACTACCAGAAGAAAAGGAAGATCTATGACATTTCTGGAGAGTTACTTGCTGATTACTTCTCTTAAGCCCTGCAGGCAGTGAAGGGCTGTCTGACCAGTCCCTGTTTTCACTGGACAGCTGCAGTCAACCTCTTATGCACTCCAGCACCCCCATCAGCTCTCTCTTCTCCTTCACCAGCCCAGCAGTGAAGAGACTGCTAGGCTGGAAGCAAGGAGATGAAGAGGAAAAGTGGGCAGAGAAGGCAGTAGACTCTTTAGTGAAGAAGCTAAAGAAGAAGAAAGGAGCCATGGATGAGCTGGAGAGGGCTCTGAGCTGTCCAGGACAGCCTAGCAAATGTGTTACGATTCCTCGATCCTTGGACGGGCGGCTGCAGGTGTCCCATCGCAAGGGTTTGCCTCATGTTATTTATTGCCGAGTGTGGCGATGGCCTGATCTGCAATCTCACCATGAGTTGAAGGCCCTGGAATGCTGTGAGTTCCCATTTGGCTCCAAGCAGAAAGAGGTGTGCATTAACCCCTATCACTACTGTCGTGTGGAGACATCAGGTCAGTTTTCTTCACGACATCATGCTGTATTTTAAAAGTTAAAGAGGTTTGTCCCAGTTGATGGAGAGTTATGGGGCATAAGCAATACAAGATCCACCACAATTTCCAAAAAGAGATGGGGGTATTCAATTTTGAGGAACTAATCCACAATTTAGTAGTCAGAAAAAACTAGAATTTTCATTTCAGCATATATGTAAACTCTGTGATTTTGAAAATGCAGTTTTATATGTTTTGGAGTCGTCATCATTATGTTCTTCCCACTCTTGGGGCATTTGAAGGTCTTAATATGGATTTTATATGATTAACTAAAAAATAAACATCCTCCTCTTCAACCCCTCTCCCTCAACTAAAGTGAACTAAAGTAAACTAAAGAAGTTTCTTCACTGTCACTTTCCCCAAGCTCAAGTAAGTGTAGGTATCTCATTTTTTGGGTCTGAAAACAGCCAATAAAAGAGTTTTTTGGAATCCTTCTAGGGAGGTTTGGGGAGTTTGGGAGTTGTTCTTAATATGGCTTTAGATATAGGAAAATGTTGTCCTAAATTCTTTACACATCTGGATGTGTTTGTATGTGTATATACAGTTCACCTCCCTTTTGGAGAAGTCTAGTGTTGATCTTTGTTCCTTCACACTGGCTATAACCGTCTGACTGCTTTTTCCCATTCTGGATTGCATGTTTCTGTGGCTATAGGGATAGGGATAAGTTTTTATGAGAGCTTCCTCTCCCTGATTGACCATCTGCCTCTTTCTAGGAGACCTAAGGACTGGCACATGAACTCAGGGAGATGATCATGTCCCTTAGGAGAAAGTTCTGTTGAGATAGTCAGGCCATGGTTGGAGTGCAGCCTGTCTGTTGGTAAAGGATTTACTAGTTAACCTTACAGCAGAAATGATAAAATGCTTTGTGCCCAGCCTACCCAGGCTTATCTAGGCAACTTCTCAGACTCCTAAATCTTGCCATAATGTTATAAACATTAGTGAAGAAAGTCATCTGTTTGGGTGTGAATACTTCTCATAGTCACTTCATCCCAGGATTGAGTCCCTGTATGAAAGTGTGATGAGAAAGTCCCACTCTCCTGGTGAATGTAATGGATTTTCCCTAATCCATATAGGTTTTTGCTTTCTTCCTTTCTTTCTTGTTTCCCTCTGTGCTTTCTTTGCATATTTAAAAAGTCATTAGTGTCTGAGTTCATGACAGAAGGAACTCAATTCTTTTTTTGTTTCAAAGATTTGAGTTATGCCCAGACTGAGTAACTCAATGGTTAAGCATTGACCTATGAATCAGGAAGTCACAGTTTTATTCCAGGTCAGGGCATATGCCCAGGTTGTGGGCTCATCAAGCCAATCAATGATTCTCTCTCATCCTTGATATCTCTCTCTCTCTCTCTCTCTCTCTCTCTCTCTCTCTCTCTCTCTCTCTCTCTCTCTCTCTCTCTCTCCTTCTCCTTTCCTCTCTGAAATCAATTATATATATTTGAGTTATATTAAGCATTCAAAATATACCCAATGAAAAAAATGTTCATTAAGAAATCATCTTTTTTTGAGTAATAAAGTGGAAAAAATCTTGTAAAATGTACCTGTTTTACTTTTTACGTACTCAAAAACCTAATTTTAGAGGATTGTTTAATATTTTAGTATTTCATATTGTTGTAGGCTCTTTTAGGAATGGTAGTGTGAATGTTTTTATGTATGACAAATAGATTTTATAATCATTTTGAGTTTCCAAAATGAAAGATGGGTAAAGATTGTATTAAATTTTAAGGTTTTAACTTTCCTAACTTGATTTTTTTAATATAAAAAGGATCTTTTATATCTAAATTTCTGGCATGTTCAATGATAATATTTTGAGAACAGTAAAGATACTAATGTTAAGCAAGTTTTCTGGGGCTCTGATTATTACAAAGCTTATGTTTTCACTTTGAAATCTCTCATTTTTTGACCTCTCCTTTTAGGAAGCTAAAATTTTGCTTTACTTTTTACTCACACAGCCACTTAAATACTCTATTTCAATGTTTCTCATATTATCTGTACTGAAGAACCAATTTTTCTTTTTCATATCTTCCATCCTTCAAAAATTGATACATTTACTAGACAAATGAAATTTTGAAGACTTACAAAATACAAGCCCATTTTGTATTATTCATTTTCAAGGTTATAAACATTGTTCTCATATTTAGCTAATTATTAATATTAGTAATAGACAGCAAAGGATAAGTCAGACATTATAAGAATGGTCATCTGGGCAGCTTCACCAGGAAGCTGCAATTTCACACTCCTCAGTCCATTCTCTGCAAATCACTGGGAGAAGGGGTCTAGCAAAAGAGAAGATGTGCACATGTGTAGAGACTTTTGGGTGATATAGGTAAGTTGCTTGTGTGTCAGTCTAACCTGGGAAAAAGATAATTGGCTAGGGGGATAGAGCAACTGTAAGCTTGTGAAATCTTGAAGGATTAATTGGTTAAACTCCTGACTATAATCCCCAAAGAGTTTTCTCTCTTGCACTCTTTTTTTTTAATTGACAAATAAAATTTAAGATATTTAAATGCATATGATAATTTGATATACATGTACATTTTAATATTTCTCCTTTCTAATTGACATCTGTGGTGAAAATATTTACATTCTACTCTTAGAAAATTTTTATAATTTTATCAACTATGTTTTCCATGAAAAAAACAAACAAAACAAAACAAACAATTTTGTGGTTCAGAAATTTCGGAGGGGTTCATCCAGGCCCCATAATTAATTTGGCGTCATCTGGGGTAACTGGGGCGGGATTATTCCACATGGCTCCTTCTCACATGTCTGGGACCTCATTACTCCTTGTCCTTGACCTCTTACCTCTTATCTTACAGAGTCTCTGTTTGTGCTTTGGATTTTGTCTAGGATGGTGGTCTTTGGATAGTCATACTTCTTTTTTCCCCCATTTTTTATTAAGGGATTATATGTGTACATATCTTACCATTGCCCCCCCACTCCCGTATATGCCCTCAACCCCCAGAGTTTTGCATCCATTGGTTATGCTTATATGCATACAAGTCCTTCAGTTGGTCTCTTATCTCCTCCATATCTCCCTAATCTTCTCACTGTAATTTGACAGTCTGTTGCTTTACTGTCTCTGTATCTATCATTTTGTTCATCAGTTTATAATGTTATTTATTATCCATAAATGAGTGAGATCATGTGATGTTTTTCTTTCATTGACTGACTTATTTCACTCAGCATTATGTTCTCCAATTCCATCCAGGATACTGCAATTGATAAAAATTCCTTCTTTTTTATGGCATAGTTTTCCATTGTGTAGATATACCATAGTTTTTTGATCCAATCATCTGCTGACAGGCACATAGGCTGTTTCCAAATATTAGCTATTATAAATTGTGCTGCTATGAACAAAGGGTGTTTCTAGTTTCTTAGGATATATTCCTAGGAGAGGGATTACTGGGTCAAATGGGAGTTCCATTTTAAGTTTTTTGAGGAAATTCCATACTGTTCTCCACAGTGGTTGCACCAGTCTGCATTCCCACCAGCAGTGCACGAGGGTTCCCTTTTCTCCGCATCCAGAGTCCCAAGCAAAATGAACCCCAAAGATCAACACCAAGGCACATTATCATTAAATTGGCAAACACCAACAACAAAGTAAGAATCTTAAAAGCAGCCAGAGAGAGACAGAAAGTTAAATAAAAAGGAACCCCCATCAGAGTAGCAACTGATTTCTCAACGGAAACTCATCAGGCCAGAAGGGAATGGAATGAAATATACAAAGTCATGCAAAGGAAGGGTCTGAATCCAAGAATACTGTACATAGCAAGGCTATCAATCAAAATTGAAGGTGAAATCAGGAGCTTCACAGACAAAAAAAGACTAAGGGAATTTATCACCACCAAACCAGCAGTACAATAAATGCTACAGGGTCTGCTAGGGGAAAAAATAAATAAAAAATAAAGAAAAGAAATAGGAATTGGAGAAGGAACATAGGGGCATAGAATAAAAATGGTGACAAATAAGTACCTATCAATAATAACTTTAAATGTAAATGGATTAAATGCCCCAATCAAAAGACATAGGGTAACAGATTGGATAAGAAAACAAGACTCATATATCTGTTGTCTACAAGAAACCCACCTCAGAAAAAAAGATGTACACAGACTGAGGGTGAAGGGATGGAAGATTTTCCAGGAGAATGGAAATGGAAAAAAAAGCTGGGGTAGCAATAGTTATATCTGACAAATTAGATCTCAAAGTGAAGGACATAACAAGGGATAAGTAAGGCCACTTCATAATACTAAAGGGATAAATCCAACAAGAAGAAAAAACTCTGGTAAACATATATGTACCCAATACATGAACACCCAAATATATATACATATATATTAAAAAAAAAAAAAAAAAAAAACTCCTGGAGGATATCAAGAGAGAGATTGAAAGCAATACAATAATAGTAAGAGATTTTAATACCCCACTATCACCGTTGAAAAAATCCTCTAAACAAAAAATCAGCAAAGAAACATCAATCCTAAATGACTCACTAGACCAGATGGAATTAATCAACACCTTCGGAACATTTCACCCCAAAGCCACAGAATATACATTCTTTTCAAGGGAACGTGGGTCATTTTCAAAGATAGACCACATGTTGGGTCATAGGCAAAGACTCTTCAAATTCAAAAAGATAGAAATTATATCAAGCATCTTCTCAGATCACAGTGGCATAAAACTTGAAATCAACTACAATAAAAATAATCAAAACAAAATCAAACACATGGAGACTAAACAGCATGCTATTAAACAATGACTGTGTTACCAGAGAGATCAAGGAAGAAATAAAAAACATTCTGGCAACAAATGACAATGAAAACACAACAATCCAAAATCTATGGGACACAGCGAAAGCAGTCATGAGACGGAAGTTCATAGCTCTCCAAGCCAACTGCAAAAAACAAGAAACAATGGTAATAAATTGCTTAACCCTACAACCCAAAGAGTTAGAAAAAGAGCAACAAGAAAAGCCCCATGTAAGCAGATGGAAGGAAACAATAAAAATTAGAGCAGAGGTAAACGACACAGAGACCAAAGAAACAATACAAAAGATCAACAAAACCAAGAGCTGGTTCTTTGAAAGGATAAACAAGATTGATGAACCTCTAGCCAGGCTCACCAAGAAGCAAAGAGAGAGGACCCAAATGAACAAAATCAGAAATGAAAGAGGTGAAATAACCACAGACCCTTCCGAAATACAAAGGGTTGTTACAAAATACTACGAACAACTCTATTCCAACACACTGAACAACCTGGAGGAAATGGACATATTCCTAGAAAAATACAAACTTCCAACACTCAATCAGGAAAAATCTAAACAGCTTAATAGGCCAATAACTATGGAAGAAGTGGAAGCAGTCATCAAAAGCTTTCAGCAAACAAAAGCCCAGGGCCAGATGCCTTCACAGGAGAGTTTTACCAAACATTCAAGAAAGAACTAAAACCTATACTCCTCAGACTATTCCAAAAAATTCAAGAGGATGGAATACTTCCAAGCTCCTTCTATGAAGCCAGTACCACCTTAATACCAAAACTAGATAAAGACAACTCAATGAAAGAGAATTACAGGCCAATATCCCTCATGAACATAGATGCCAAAATCCTCAACAAAATTCTAGCAAATCAGCTCCAGCAGCACATCAGAAAGATCATACACCACGACCAAGTAGGATTTATTCCAGGAATGCAAGGATGGTACAATATCCACAAATCAATAAATGTGATACATCCCATAAACAAATTGAGAGATAAAAATCACATAGTCATATTAATTGATGCAGAAAATGCATTTGACAAAATCCAACATCCTTTCCTGATAAAAACTCTCAACAAGGTGGAAATAAAAGGATCATAAGTCAACATAATAAAAGCTATATATGATAAACCCACAGCAAACATCATACTCAATGGGCAAAAACTAAAACCATTTCCTCTAAGAACAGGAATAAGACAGGGATGCTCACTCTCACCACTCCTGTTTGACATAGTACTGGAAATATTAGCCATTGCATTTAGATAAGAAGAAGAAATAAAATGCAGCCAAATTGGAAAAGAAGAAGTAAAACTGTCCTTATTTGCAGTTGAAATGATATTGTACATATAAAAACCCAAAAGACTCCATAAAAATACTAATAGACCTAATAAATAAATTGGGCAATGTAGTAGGATACAAAATTAATGCCAACAAATCTGTTGAGTTATATGAGGACTTTCTTACTTACAGAAAGAGAGACTAAAAAAAAAAAAATCCCATTTACTCTCACACCAAAAAAGTTAAGATGCTTAGGAATAAACTTAACTAAGGAGGTAAAAGACCTATATGCGGAAAACTACAGGACACTGATAAAAGATATAGAGTAGGGGTGTCGAACTCAATCAGAGAAGTGGCCAAAATCTAAAATCCAGCCTAAATCGCGGGCCGAATGGTTTACTGAACAGTCATAAACTGTCATTGTGATGGAAACGCAGCGGAGTGCAGTGATGACAGCTCGGTGCGGGCCACATTGCAAGGCCTGGCGGGACGGATTTGGCCCGCGGGCCTTGTGTTTGACACATGTGGTCTAGAGCATTGTTTCCCAAAGTGTGGTACGCGTAACCCTAGGGAAGAGTTTGGTGGGGGTTCATGTTGCACTGGAGTTTGGTGGGGACATGCACTGCACCGTGCTTAGTTGCACCTAATTCTACGTTTGAGGAGTACTCAGCGTTACAAAAATTATAGAAGGGGAACACATATGTCAAAAGTTTGGAAAACACTCCTCTAGAGAATTGCATCAATTCCTAAGTTTTTGTACAGAATCGGGATCAAGAAAACTCATGTTCTTCCTAAAGTATGTAACCCATAAGGGAAATGCTAAATGAGCAGGCTTTGTTTATAAGTTCTCTATTGCTGCTTACCTTTTACTTATTCACTTGTATTATTACTCACTGTTTATCTTTTACAAAATAACTTTTAGTTGCCTTTATATCTTTCTGGTAACATCAGGTAGAATGTTTTTACTTTAGCGGCACTACTGAGGTAAAATTTAGGTTGGTCATCTAAATAATTCAACATGGTCTCTGAGAGAAAAATATTTTGTACGTCACTAATTATTTTATAGCAAGCAATAAAAATCTATTTTGCCTTAAATAGACAAACACTTTATTGGCAGAATAAAAGGAAGACATGAGCAGTTAAATCTTCAGAAGACCAAGTAGTAGGACAGTTTTGCTAATTTCTGTGGTAGGAATAAATAGGCAGTTTGTCTTTAGAATGCTGACCTCACAATGATTCTCCTCTAAACTTTTTTAATTGTTACATTTTGTTTAAGATTCATGCTTTAAAGAGAGAAACCATTGGTTTAACTTGATTCACAAGCTCACTTTTTGGGAAAAGATAGAACTATAACTGACAATTCATAATGAGCACTAAGAATGGTGAAACAGTACTTCCCAAAGGAAAAACAGAGCTTTATCATAAAAAAGAATGGACAAAAACAGCAAGTGTCCACTCTGTTTTGTGCCAATGAGCCAATGTTCAATTCTAACCCACTGATTTCTTTCTCATGCTAGTGCTGCCGCCTGTATTGGTGCCGAGACACAGTGAATATAACCCCCAACTGAGCCTTCTGGCCAAGTTCCGCAGTGCCTCCCTCCACAGTGAGCCACTCATGCCGCACAATGCCACCTATCCTGACTCTTTCCAGCAGCCTCCATGCTCGGCATTCCCTCACTCATCAGGGCAAGCATTCTCACCGTCCCCGTGCACAGCCAGCTACTCTCACTCCCCAGGAAGCCCTTCAGAGCCAGAAAGCCCCTATCAACACTCAGGTCAGTAAAAGTTGCCAGTCTATGTGGTATACAATTCAACACATTTATGGTGTGATCATCATAATTTTTAATCACTGTAACTCATGTTCATGTAGAGCTTTACAGTTCATATGGCAATCTCTTATGTGCTCTTGGACCCTGCCCAGATGATCAGTACTATATCCATTTTGGAGCAGTTATCCTGGAGCTACAACATGCCTTTGCTCTGTTTTTTTTGTCCCAATCCTTTGTAAGCTCTCAGAAATTAAATGGACTTGAATACATACTTTGGAATTTTGAGGTGTTTGTTTGTTTGTTTAGTTTTGGTTTTCTAAAGCCAGTAGCAATAAGCTTATAATAAGCTTCTCTAAGCTGAGCAGAAAAAACTGACAGGAGAGCAAGCAATGAGTGCCTCTTTCAACAATCAAAGGGAGTCTCTCCTACAAAGGATGTGTAGGGCAGAAGGAGGCCCCAGTTCCAGGCAGTGCATTCTCCCTTTTTGCTATGAGAAGTAAGCACAGCATCTGAAGCACTGACCTACTCAATCAATATTTGCTGAATTTAAAAAAAAAAAAAAAAAACATGTAAAAGGGAGAGGGAGAACCAAGCCCATAGTGATAATTGCATGTACTATTATACTTATAGTTTTAACTTAGACAATGAAAAAAAATTTTTGTGAACCTCAGGAGTGTGAGAAAATATTCTGAGCTAACAAGTTTCTGTAAGCATGCATAAATGCATTTGGTGCCAGATGTTGTGATCTGCCTCATTCATTTCTTCATATATTTATTTATTTAATAGATATTTATGGAACTCATACTATATGCAAGCATTGCCATAGGGTGCCAAGAGTAAAATTAAAAGATAATAAAAATTATCCCCATCCTCAAAAAATTCATAAAATGTGGGAAGGTAAAGAAATTGCCTCTTCTCCTTAGAGTTATTCCTTTCTTCCTTTTACCCCCTCAAGCAGTACATTTACTATTTTACATATATATCTACTATTTAAATTCATCACATCTACTACTTGCACACCTATTAAATGTATATAATTTTTGTGTGTCAGTCATTTTATCTTTTATATGTTTAGTGTAGAGCCTAAAATGCAGAAGTTGCTCAACAGTTAATTACACAGGCATTTGGAACTTGGGAATAGAGCTTCAGGGTCATAGATCCGGATTCTATTGAGTCAGTAAGTAATGACTGAGCCTACTCAGACACTGTGTTAGCGATAGAGGTGCAATGATTGATTATGACAACAGTCACTGCCTCTCACTTTCCAGAGACAGTGACTATTTAAAACAATTATGAAAATAAGTGACAACGTGATAGAGGTCTTACCAGTCCAGTCAAGTAATGATAAGGGCTTAAACTAAAAAAGGGATGTGGAGACAGAAAGAAGGCAATTAATTTGAGATTGTAGAGGACTTGATGTGAGGATGAAGGCTGAGCTCTGGCCTGGAAGTCATGCACAGAGTGGAGGAGGCAGTTGAAGCCTTGTAAGTAGCTGAATTCACTGAGAAAGTAACACAACAGAAAGAGACTTCAGTTGAGGACAGAGCCCTAGTTAAGAGACAGGAGGATAATTATGTTGCAAAATATACATTTACATAAAACACATTTGTGCTATAAAGATTTCCTGTACTAAATTTTTATACCTGAACTTATTAAACTAACAGGTTGGTGTGTGTTTTCTCTCTTCCCATTCATGAATGACAGACCTCAAGATTTATGCACAAACTGACTAGTTTCTTACAAAGGGAATAGCCCTTTTAATTTCAAAGCAAATTGAGATTAACTGGCTCAGCTCCTTAATGTAACAAAATTCAACTACTTAAAGTGTGCAATTCAATGGTTTTTCATATGTTGTATTATATTTTTTAAGTTGTAATAAAATACTCATCACAACAACTAAATAAAAGGAAGATGAATGATCCAATTAAGAAATGGGCAAGGGACCTAAATAGAATATTTTCAAAAGAAGACAGAAGGAAGGCCAAAAGGCACATGAAAACATGCTCAAAGTCACTAATTATACGAGAGATGCAAATCAAAACAACAATGCGGTACCATCTCACACCTGTCAGAATGGCCAACATCAACAAATCAACACACGACAAGTGTTGGCGAGGTTGCGGAGAAAAAGGAACCCTCGTGAACTGCTGGTGGGAATGCAGACTGGTGCAACCACTGTGGAGAACAGTGTGGAGTTTCCTCAAAAAACTGAAAATGGAACTCCCATTTGACCCAGTAATCCCACTCCTAGGAATATATCCCAAGAAACTAGAAACACCAATCAGAAAGGATATATGCACCCCTATGTTCATAGCAGCACAATCTACAATAGCCAGAATTTGGAAACAGCCTAGGTGCCCGTCAGCAGATGATTGGATCCAAAAACTATGGTACATCTACACAATGGAATACTATGCTGCCATAAAGAAGAAGGAATTCTCATCATTTGCAGCAACCTGGATGAAATTGGAGAACATCATGCTGAGTGAAATAAGCCAATCAGTGAAAGAGAAACACCACATGACCTCACTCATTTGTGGATAATAAAGAGCATTATAAACTGATGAACCAAAAGATAGATATAGAGACAGTAAAGCAACAAGCAGATTGTCAAATTACAGCGGGGAGGGGAGGAGGATCTGGGGGAGATAATAGATCAACCGAAGGACTTGTATACATGCATATAAGTACAACCAATGGACATAAAACCATGGGGAGGGAGGGGATATGGGGGAGGGAGGGAGGGGGGCAAAAAAAATCATTAAAATATGTAAAAAATAAATGAATTAATTAATTAAAAAAAATACTCATCACAGAAAATTTGTCATTTTAACCACTTTTAAGTGTATGTCCAAGTGGAATTAAGTATATTCACAATGCCGTGTAATCATCACCACTATCTGTTTTCAAAGTTGTTTCATCACCCCAAACAGAAACTCTGTACCCATTAAACAATAGATCCTCATTCCCTGCCTTCCTCCCTGGTTAACTTCTAATCACTTTTTGTCTCTATGTATTGAATTTGCCTATTCTAAGGAATCATGCCATATTTTTTTGTGTGTGTGAGTGTGTCTTATTTAGTTTAGCATACTGTTTTCACAGTTCATCTATGTCATAGCATTTATCAGTTACTTAATTTGTGTGACTGAACAATATTCCATTATATAGGAATATTTAATTTTTAAAAAGTAATTTATTGGTCTATTAGGTATTTGTGGGTGTTCCCCCCCCCCCCATCTTTAAGCTATTGTGAATAATAGCTATGAACATTGATGTGCAAGTAGCTGTTTGAGTCACTGCTTTTAATTCCTGTGGGACTATACCGAGGAGAACAGCTAGGTCATACAGTAACTCTTTATATTAAGACCCTTAATTTTATAGGCAGATTTACTCCAGGTCCTGCTGAAGGGTCATCTTGTTTTATAACTTTTTCACCAGTGTTACAGTTCATTTTCTCAAAGGGAAATACCTTATTCGTGGTTATTCGGTACAGTCAGATGACCACCTGCAGTGCCTGTTCAAGCATACATGGCTGCATTCAACCACTGATCTATAGACTCGGGATTTCTGGGAGTTTGGCCAGGAACTTGTATTTATTTACCCATTCATTCATTTACTTTTATTTAAGGCCCACTTCATGAATTCCTTGCACATAAAACACAAATGTGTTTTGTGTGTGTTTTTTTTGTGTGTGTGCCCCTCAGCCCAGCTTGCATTCTCTCCAAACATCCCTCAAGGGATGTCCGACTGCCCATTTAGGCCCTATCCAGGCAGTCAGACATCCCATTCACAATCCAGGACTGCTGGCTCCCAACCTCTCACCTGCCTGCATTTTAGAGTCTGATTGCCCCTAACTGCTTCTGCCTACCAGCCTTATCACCCCCTAACTACTCCCCTACCAGCCTTGTCATCCCTAACTGCCGTCCCCTGCCAGCCTGATTGCCCTCAACTGCCTCCCCCCTGCAGGCCTGGTCTCTAACCCTCCTCTGCAGGCCTGGTCTCCCCTAACTGACCTCCCCTGCAGGCCTGATCACACCTAACTGCCCTCCCCTGCTGGCCCAGTGTCCCCTAACTCCCCTGCCTTGCCAGCCTGGTTGCTCCTAAGTTCCCTCCCCTGCCAGCTCGATTGCCCCTAACTGCCTTCCCCTACTGGCCTGGTCACCCCTAACTGTCCTCCCCTACAGGTCTGGTCATCCCCACTGCCCTCCCCTGCTGGCCTGGTTCCCCCAACTTCCCTCCCCTGCTGACCATCTTGTGGCTGCCATCCTTGACCACATGGGGGTGGCCATTTTGTGTGTTGGAGTGATGGTTAATTTGCACATCACATCTTTATTATATAGGATGTTTTTTATTAATTTTTAAGAAGACTTGAAGGAAGGAGAAAGACAGAAAAGAGGTACATTGATCTGAGAGAGAAACATTGATCAGCTGTCTCCTATAAATGCTCTCACTGAGGATGAAACTCAATCCCTGGGCATGTGCCCTGATCTAGAATCAAGCTGGTGACCTTGTGATGCATGGAACAACCCTTAATCAACTAAGCCACATAGGCCAGTCAGAATCTACATTTTTAACAAGTTTCACTGGTGGTGTTCATGCACACTTAAGTATGAGAACTACTTGAATGGACAATTCAACAAAGTCATACTGATTCAAAATTTAAGCTGTTGAACTCTATCATTTATATAATAAACTGACATTAAGAATGCATTCAAAAGGAATCAGTTATTCTGAGGTTCTCTTTAAAGAGTGTTTCTTCTGCCTCAGGATTTTTTTATTGTGTAATGAATTAATTTCTGATAAGATAGTATCTACTTGATTGCACATCATTTTCTTAACCATGATCACTTTCCAATCATCTATATATATATATAAGCCCAGAGACCAGAATGGCAGAATGACTAGAATGACCAGTGGCTATGATGCACATTGTGGCAGCCAACCAGCCTGATCTGGGTGCTGATTGGCCCCAACACCCCAATCAGGGATGGGACTGGCTGGCCAACTGCCGTGGCCACTCCCCCCACTGGCCTGGCCCAATAGGGCCTCTTTGGGATGGGCTGGCTGGACCCAACCTGTGCACAAATTCGTGCACCAGGCCTCTAGTAGGACGGATATTTGGGAAGAAGAACCCTTCTCAATGAGCCTTGGGCTCAAGGTTATAATTGGGTTTCATCTATCCTGTATTTGAGGGCATATTTGAACTATCTCAGAAACAGAACATTGCTGTGGCCATTGTACAGACCATGACATCAGAGGAGCTAAAAATTAAACTAACTTCAAACAGTTAGCTTTCTCTGTTATAGAAGCCAGATAACAGGCTCTTCTGTTACTGAGAAAAGCTAGGAGAATAGCTCCTCAGTTTGAAAATCTTATGAAAGCATTTAAATTCAATGATAATTTATAACTCAGAGGGAAAACTATTCAACCCTTTAGTGAGGAGCTTAGGACAACCCACTTCCCCTGTAGAACACTCACAGTATCACTTATTATGTTACTGGTCTCTAGCAAAAACACTGTCCACCAAGGAGTTTAACAGCCAAAAAGGTTGGGTCAGGTCGTCTTTGTATAGCTTATCAGTTTGACATTCCTTTGTTTTACTTCTTTCTTATAGTTAACACACCACCTCTATTTTATTAGGCCACAGAAACCCCAGAGAACCAGAATGACTGACCTGTAGATACCACAGCTCATAGTCATTTAATACTATCAATGCCTAATGGAGATACATTTGCAGATGAACAGCTAAATGAATTTATTTTACAGGAGTGTTTTCTGTTACCCCAAAATAAAACAAATAAAAATCCAAACAAACCAAATGTTCTTGCTTCTATTTCCCAAATGTTTTAAGGGGCAGTTAGTATGGCTTTCTTTGCATTTTAACTTTGGCATTCTTCAGGACCATAGAGTGGAGATTTGTTTAGCATTCTGTTTACTAGAATACATTAATCTTTTATTTTAACCTAACATTTGTAGTTCTTGATGTTTACTATGGAACTGGATATTTAAGAAGTTAATTTTTCCCCATTTCTGTTTTTACTATAGATTTAGAATGGTGTCTTTTGTTGAGGCTTAGAGAGATGCTCTTAGAAATAGATGTAAATAGCCTTTTTACAAAATGTTGTGTCTTAAAATAGACTAGAAAAATGTTGTCTACTTTAGTGTTCATATATAGCATGTAGTAATTTTGTATAAATACCATTTTGATACCCTGGATATGAGTTGGGGAAAGAATCTGCATGCCTAACAAGTTCCCAGGTGATGCAGGCCTGCAGGTCCATAAACCACACTGAGTGGGGAAGGTCCAAAGGAGTGTACTACTTAAAGTATCCCAATTCTTTTTATAAGTTAAAGACCTTTTGTAAATCAGGTAACCCCTAATTTATCTGCTTTAAAAATGTATATTTAGTGCATAATGGAACACACTGTAGGTACAAGAATTACAAGGATATTCAAAGAAAAGAAAGGTTATACAATCCATAGAAGGGCAGAGAAAAAGTGTGGGTGACAAAGAACTCTGAACTTTTATTGGCCACTTAACTGAAAAATTTGGGGTGAAAACATAACATTCATGGTTTCCTAATGAAATATACAGCTCTCTTTAAAATATCTTTATGGCGCAAGTAATTAAGTATTTGTACATTAAAGAGAATGTGAGTTTATTTAGATAGAATTTTATTTTCTTTCTTAAATAATTTAAAGTGCTATCCAATGTTTCTGATTTGGTTTTGTCATATCCAAACTATCATATTTCATCTTTCATTTGTTAGGAAATGGTACTTTTTGCCACAGGTACTCAGTGTGGCATACAGAAATAGTAATACGCTATCTTTCTCATGCGGAGATGAAGTGACCTGCCAGTTTCCTTTGATCTGTGTTTCTTTTAGAGGTGATGAACTTTGCATGGATCCACTCATAGTTTTATTTGCTTGGCCTTCTCAATACTCACAGATATGTGTACAAATACTGTAAATATGGGAGAGTCACTAGGTCAGTGGCCTTTGCCATAGATGCATTAACCAGATAAGCTCACCACAGTTTTCATTAAAGTGATATATTTGAAATGATTGTAAGGCAGCTTACTTGGTCTTGAAGCCAACTTTCTGCTTAACAGCATTAATGTAAACTTTCTGATGAAATCAGGAGATGGGAAGCCCAAGAACAATAGTAGTAATGTGCTATCTGGTTTTCTTTTTTTCAGACTTTCGGGCAGTTTGTTATGAGGAGCCCCAGCACTGGTGCTCAATTGCCTACTATGAACTGAACAACCGAATTGGTGAGACGTTCCAGGCTTCCTCCCGAAGCATACTTATAGATGGATTCACAGACCCTTCAAATAACAGGAACAGATTCTGTCTTGGACTTCTTTCTAATGTAAACAGAAACTCAACAATAGAAAATACCAGGAGACACATAGGAAAGGGTAAAAGAAATGTGTAATTTCTTTTTCTGTTCTTCTGAGCTAAAACATAAAAACAGAAACAAGCTGTTCATTGGCTATGTAACCTTTTGGGATGGCACCGGGCTGGGTTTCTCTGCCTATAAAGTGGGCATGACACTTTTGAGGGGTTGGCATAGTGTACATATTATGAAGACAAACATGATGTGAAAACAGGATAAAATCCTATCTAATTAAGAGTGAATATGCAAATTGACCATCACATCATCACAAAGATGGAGGTACTCAGTTCCCTCAGCCCTGCCAGAGTCCCCCAGTCTATTCAGCCTGGCTGGGGGAGTGGGGTGGCAGGCGCATGGGGTAGCCAGACCCGCCCTCAGTCTCCCAGATGCCCAGGGCTGTCCGGAGGTGCAGGCAAGACTTAGACGGTGGCTGCTCAGCAAGGCCACCCAAGGCTCAAGTAACCAGGGCTGGCTGAGGTTTGCGCTTCTGGCAGTGGCAGCAGCAGAGGTGTGATGGGGTGTCGCCTTCCCCTGATTGCCAGGTTGCCTCTTGCCCCTGAGGGTTCTTAGACTGTGAGAGGGGGTAGGCTAGGATGAGGGACCCTCCCCTCCAGTGCATGAATTTTCATGTACTGGGCCTCTAGTTATTAAATAAAAGTATTGTGGATTATTTTTGAGTTGCCCAAAAAGGCTAGATAACTTCTGAAGAGGAAGAATTCTGGCTGCTGATTATTTATATGAGGTAAAGTTACCTTTGGAGACTTAGAAGCTAGGGAGTTAAACATCATGAGTTATTTATTTTTGTAAATGACTAGGGCTCTCCTGTGTCTAGGCATGGTTACAGCAGCCTATTGCACAAGCCTCACTGGGGTCTGGCCAAGATGTTTTTGAAGCTTCCTTTATTGGCAGAGTCTGGCTGAGGATCTTTAAATCATTTTCTTTTATTTTAGAATAGTTGGTAGTATCTCAGTGATACCTGGATGTCCACTATAATGTCAGACTGTTCTGGAATCACAGGTGTAAAGAAACTTGAGAGCCAATTGATCTTTTCTCTCCTCATCCAGCACCTTACCTTTGGAAAGGAGCTACATGAGCCTTTCTTTCATGATTTCATTTGGTGATGCATTCTAATTTTCTTCCTAACATACCTCCTCAGTGCTCCTGTTGTGGTAAATGTACAAGCCATTGATTAAAAACTTTCATTTAATTCATTTATTGATGTTGACTCTTAATGGTGACAATTACTTTATTTTTATTCATAGTCTGTATTTTCCCATGTAGTTTTGAAGTGGCTTCCAAGAAACCTTTGCAGTGAAATGATAAGTGAAAAACAGAAAATCAGAAACTGGGGGTAAAGGAAACAGAAAAAAAAATACAAGAATGTCATTCTTAGGGTTGGCATTGTGATTGTGATTAAAATTTCACTATAAGTTTCTTGACAAGGAGGGACACTCAATCTGTAATATAATTTTTAAAATAGTTTTAATTCATTTCAGAGAGAAAAAGGGAGAGCGATAGAAACATTAATGATGAAAGAGAAACATGGATAGGCTGCTTACTGCACATCACCTACTTGGGATCAAGCCTGTAACTTGGACATGTGCATTGACCAGGAATTATACTGTGACCTCTGGTTCAGGGGCTGACACTCAATCATTGAATCATACCGACCAGACTGTAATGTAATTTTTTTAAAAAATAAGTATTTATTGTTCAGATTATTACAGTTGTTCCTCTTTTTTTCTTCCCATAGCTCCCTTCCACTCAATTCCCACCCCACCCAATGCCCTTACACCCCCCATTGTCCTCGTCCATAGGCATTTGTTTTTTGTTCAGTTTCTTCCCGCAACCCATACCCCTTTCCCCCTGAGAATTCAGTCCACTTCCTTTCTATGCCCTGATTCTATTTATTCACCAGTTTATTCTGTTTATCAGATTTTTTTTATTCACTTGATTTTTAGATTCACTTGTTGATAGATATGTATTTGTTGTTCATAATTTTTATCTTTATCCTTTTCTTCTTTTTCCTCTTCTTACAGAATACCTTTCAGCATTTCATATAATAATGGTTTGGCAGTGATGAACTCCTTTAGATTTTTCTTATCTGTGAAGCTCTTTGTCTGACCTTTCATTCTGAATGATAGCTTTACTGGGTAGAGTAATCTTGATTGTAGGTTCTTGCTATTCATCACTTTGAATATTTCTTGCCACTCCCATCTGGCCTGCATAGTTTCTGTTGAGAAATCAGCTGACAATTGTATGGGTGCTCCCTTGCAGGTAACTAACTGTTTTTCTCTTGCTGCTTTTAATATTCTCTCTTTGTCTTTTGCTTTTGGCATTTTAATTATGATGTGTCTTGGTGTGGTCCTCTTTGGATTCTTTTTGTTTGGGGTTCTGTGTGCTTCCTGGACTTGTAAGCTATTTCTTTCACCAGGTGGGGGGAAGTTTTCAGTCATTATTTCTTCAAATACGTTTTCAGTATCTTGCTCTCTCTCTTCTTCTGACACCCTCATAATTCTGATGTTGGTACACTTGAAGTTGTCCCAGAGGCTCCTTACATCATCTTCAACTTTTTGGATTCTTTTTCCTTTTTGCTTTTCTAGTTGGGTGTTTTTTGTTTCTTCATATTTCAAATTTTTGACTTGATTCTTGGGATTCTCTAGTCTGCTTTTGGATCTCTGTATATTATTCTTTATTTCAGCCAATGTATGCTTAATTTCTAATTGGTCCTTTTTCATATCCTTAAACTATATTTTATATCCTTTCACTATATTTCTCAGAGGTTTCTAGAAGATTATTGAGTAACCTTATAACCATTGTTTTGAACTCTATATCCAGTAGTTTGCTTTCCTTCATTTCTTTCATTTGTGACCTGTTTCTTTGTCTCTGCATTTTGGACTCTTTCCTGTGTTGATAGAGTGGCTTTGTATGCTAGGGTCCTGTAGGGCCCAGTGGCTCAGCCTCGCCAATTACCTGAGGTGGACTCTCTTTGTGGGCTATGTGCATAGTCTTGTTGTAGTCAAGCCTCGATTGCTGTTGGTATCATTGGGTGAAATTGACCTCCAGACCAACTGGTTTTGAGGATCACTTGTGTCTACAATGGGAGAAGTGCTGAGCTAGAAATACCCTTATGGGGCAGAACTTGCTTCAGTGGGGCTTTGGTGCTCAGAGTCTCCCCCTTAATGTGTCTCTTTTGGATCTGAAGAGTTGTAATCTGGTGTGGTCTCACTTTGACCATTGGGTGCACTGGCTCTTCGATTTCCAAGGAGGTTCAAAATCAACCACTGCTTAAGGCCACCCAACAGGAGCTACAGAGACATCTACATATCCCTCTTCTTAGTTTGGGGTTTGGAGGTGCCCAAATGAGGCACAGCTGTGAACCGGTGCAGGCTTCTGATGAACCTTAGGCTTTCTTTTGGAAGCTCTGGAGTTCTTTGACCCAGCTGTAGTTTGTTAGGTTAGGTTGCAAAAGGCCCGGCCATTCATATGCAAACGCCTCTGTGTACAGTTTGAGTGGGGTTGTAAATCGGGTGGGGCATGGTTTCAGGGAATCACTGGGCAGTGCAAACAGCAATGGTTGCCCAATGGCCCTGCCCCAGTAGGTCCCTGGGTCTCTGTGTTCCATGCCCTCATGCAGGAACAATGAACTCTGTGACCACCTCTGAGAGAAAACCACCCTTGTGTTCCGGCCTGATTCCAGACAGCCCAGTTTCTCCCCATATGAGTCTGGGTCTCCAGAGTCTCACCCAGTACTGGAGTGCAAAGCAGTCAGGAGTTTATATCTCCCTCCCGATTGAAAAAGACCACAGCGCACCCAGTTGCCAGCCTGTTTATACGTTCATCTCTGTACCTTTGCTCTTTTGCACCTTTGCACCTCTTACCTTTTCTCTTTCCTTCTTGTTATAGAACTTCCAGTCAGCCTGCCTTCCCATGGTTCTGGATGGTGTCCTTTTTTTCTTTTAGTTGTAGTTTTGATGTGGTTGTGCGAGACAGCAAGTTCATGTGTTTACCTATGCTGCCATCTTGGTTCCTCTCCTGTAATGTAATTTTTATTACAAAGGGAGAAACATAACAGCTCCTCAAAGGAAATAATACTTTTTTTTATTGATTTTTTAAACAAATTTCTCAAGTATGGTTTTAGTTTCAAATGTTTTTCATAAGAATATGCAAGTGAGCCAAAACTGGTTTGGCTCAGTGGATAGAGCATTGGCTTGCAGACTGAAAGGTTCGGGTTCGATTCCGGTCAAGGGCACGTACCTTGGTTGTGGGCATATCCCCAGTAGGGGTTGTGCAAGAGGCAGCTGATCGATGACTCTCTCTCATCGATGTTTCTAACTCTCTATCCTTCTCTCTTCCTCTCTGTAAAAAATCAATAAAAATATATATATTTTTTTTAAAAAGAATATGCAAGTGAAATCTAAAGGCAGAACATTAAAATATAATATTGTTTGCTGAGGGGCTTTTCAGATTGATCTACATGTTGGTGTTTTTTTTTTTTATTGATTTTGTACAGAGAGGAAGGGAGAGAGATAGTTAGAATCATCGATGAGAGAGTCATCGATCAGCTGCCTCTTGCACACCCCCCACTGGGGATATGCCCAAAACCAAGGTAGTACATGCCCTTGACCGGAATCGAACCCGGGACCCCCCAGTCCCCAAGCCGACGCTCTATCCATTGAGCCAAACTGGTCTCGGCTATATGTTGGATTTCTACTTGATCCAAAGATAGAGTTAAAATATTGAAGTATTTAGTGTATTCTGGGAATCTTTCTGCAAGCAGCTTGTTCAAAATGCTGCTGATATGGACATGAAGAGTTGGTGTTTTATGTGGTTGGCTGAGAGCTGATCCATAGGTTTAAGGAACCATAGGAGAGAGGGATTAAGAAAGTTTAACTAAGTGCTTTCTTGGATGGAAGGGCAGTCCACCCTCACATAGTGCATAAATAACACCCAACCAACTGAGCCACACAGGCCAGGGGTGGCTTGGAATATTTTTAAAGTAAGAGTTAGCAGTTTTTTATG